TAATCTTAAAAAAAAATGCTTATGAAACTGTCTTTGATTATCAATATCTTTAAAAGGAATTCAGTCTCCTCACACATTTAAATCTTAGGATCACAAGCAGTACAACTCCACTTTAAGTCATAGTGTACAAGGATGTCTTGGCAGCTTCTTTCATTGATATAAAAGGATTTAAGATGTTTCTGTCCAGCTCAGGTTCACGTCGTTTATGCATTTGAACTAATACAGGGAAAGATCTGTAAATGAAGGGGAAAAAAAAATGGTTGCTGGTTATTTTTATTATTATTGATTTTTTGATAAATTTGGAAGCAGTTTTTGTTTTTCAGTGATATTATTTCTTTTCTTGTTTTTTTATTTTATTTTATTGAGTGCTTTATGTGTTATGGTAACATTCCACTTGTTTTTCCCAAGTATTTTGTTAGTTATATTGATTGTAAATTCATGTAAAGGTTTATTAATATAAATCTGTTGTTGTTGTTTTCTTTGTTGTAAAGATTTATAAAGGAAGTGTTACTTTGTGTAGCAGCTAATTGTTCACATGTTTGATTATTAATATTATTATACCTGTTGTTATTGTTATTGTTGTTGATATTAATGCATTTTTTTTTTCTGAAGCAGTTTTGAATTACTGTCATGCCCACTTTTATTATCATCTTGATACATTTCTTGTTAAGTATTGCAGTTGACTATGCAAGTAGTTAAGTCTTAGATATTGCTTGGCATCAGAACATTTTGCAAAAAAAAAGAAAATATTGTTGGAAAACATATACTGTATTATGCATAATTGAGCTCAGTGCCTTCACAAGTGCTAAAAAAAGTAATTTGTACAAAAAAGAGGAAAGTATAAATTCATATATGCATTTCTATGATAGATAAAAAAAACTGCATTTATAGTTAACTATATGATGTATATATTTTCTGACATGTCACATCATAGATTTGAAGTTTGATTTTTTCTCAAAAGAGGAATATACATCATACCAAAGATTTGGGTTGTAATCTATTAAGTTTTGGTTAGAATTTGACATGTGGTTGTGGATGACCAGAGTTGCATTCAGTTATTGTCTTTTATTATTTATTTTTTAATAAAAACAAACAGAATTTTAAGGTTGGGTGACTGCAGTTGGTTTGATTATTATCTGCAGTTTTAAGATTCTCTGGCATTAATAGTTGATGCATTGTGCTTTATCATAAAGGCCAAAGATTTATGTAATTTTTTTTATTGGTTTAGAAATTTGATGAATTTACATTAGGTGTTAGGAATTTATATGCAATATGAAATACTGTATATTTTGTTATATCTAAAAAAAATGGTCAATTGAATAATGCATAAGTTGAATACAAAATATGGTGAAATTAAGATATTTTATGGTATAAAATACAGATACCTCTCTGGATTAAGGAATGCAAGGATGTATTATTAGAGATACATCTATTCATGCTATACAAAGTGAAATTCTCATTGCTACATCTTCATTCTGTTTTAAGTAACGTCATAAAGGCCTTGAAAACTGCAGTGAAAATTTTGATGTTAGTATTTGCCAGTTACTCATTTTTGGCAATACTTTTTATTATCTATTTGTTTAAGTTTTTAGGGGTTTCTCCTATTCTTGTAATATCAATAGTGGTTATTTAAACCAGGATGTCTCTCATTTTTACTGAGCAGATGTAATGATAGTGCTTGTAGTTCAACAAGAGTAGTTTCTTACAAGTTTAATCTTTCTACAAAGTTCTTTTTTGCCTCCTGTCCAAAAATAATAAAAATTTGATACTTAATGTTGAACTTTATTCTCTTCCTAATTTTGATTCAGAATGTCTTTAAGCGTTCACAGATTTTCAGCAGGAATATATTTAATTCAAGCTAACTTGCTTCAGTAAAATTGCTACTGTTAATCTCAGAACAAACCAAATGATGACTCAATTTTGTGTGTGTTCCCCCTCTGACCATTCCATGGGTGCTCAGCAGGTCTTTACCAGTGGTGGTCATTTGAGTCTTCCTCTTAAGATTTTTGACTGTCCAGTGGTCCAATGGTTCCCCCTTCATCCCTCCATTGCTGCTCATCAGCTCTTTCAGTAGTGGCCTTTGATTCTTTCATTGGTGCCTTCTGGTGTTTCAAATGATACCCCTTTGGCCCTTTCAATGATGCCACTTCGGCCCTTCCAATGGTACCCCTTGGATCCTTGGAATGGTGCCTCTTTGGTATTGCTTGCAATGGTACCTTGCCTCCGACCTCTTCTCTTTTCTGTCACAATTCCATTCTTCCTATACCTTACCCCTCTGTTTTCCTTGACCCAACAAAATCAGATATCCCTTTTATCTCCTTCTCACTCATTTCCTTGACCATGTCTCTTCTCATTTCATTCTGTTTACACTGATGACTCCAAATCCGCTTGGTTTCGTAGTAATCATCCCAACTCACACATTCCCTCCTGAGTAGTGTCCTTACTACAGAAATGTATGCACTCCATTTTGCCTTAAAACACATACTCTCTCCCTTCCTCCACACTATTTTTACTGATTCCTGCAACTCACAATCTCTCATAAAGTCTATGCACTAAACCAACCCTCTTACCTGTAAGATTCAAGACTGGTTGTTCTACCTGTCTATGAACCACAAATCTGTCAGGTTTCCTGGGTGCCTAACCATGTCTGAATCTCTGTCAATGAACAGGCAGATACTCTAGCAGTCTCCACCACTATGTCCACATCACACCACTCATGTTTTTTCACATATACCTGCCACAAATTATTACCCCTACTTTAAATGTAATGTTCCTCTTTCAGTTCCACACATTCTGCTGTCATTTTACTGCAGCCTATACCTCTGCTTTCCCTCACCTATCCTGCCTTCACTGACCTCCCAACCTATCAGACATCCTTATGGAATCCCCCTCTTTCTGCTTTGACAACCTATTCTCCTGCTTCAGATGCATACATATCCTTCACTTGATTTAATTACTCCTTGCTTAATCCTACCTTAACCCCATTCACTCATCCTTTGCATCTTCAACATTCCCAGTACCAACCTACTGCGGTGTGATGATTGAAGTAAAGCACCCCTCACTCTACCCTTTCCAATACTTACCTTCCTATAGTGCTTCATGACCTTTGATGTCTAGCACATTACTTTTTTTTAACCATTCACCATTGCGTTACATATCAGAAGTCTTACAGCAATTCATCAGCTTGTCACTCAGTGTGGCACTCAAAGGGGCAAAAAGGGAGAGTAGAAAGGGTGAGTAAAAGGCCTGAAGTAGGGATTTACAAAGGTGATTAGATTAAAGTTATCAAAGGAAACAAGGAGAAAGGGGATTTAAGGGCAATTAGATCACAGTTTCAGGAGCAACGTCAAGAGAGAGAGTCGGAGAAGGGGGTAGGTTGATAAGGTTGGACAGGGAAGGTCTCTCCATCAATGTAAACAGCTTCTATGGGGAACAGTGTAGCACTGTACTGATACTGCATCAAAGTCCACCTGGCAGGTGAGTATGTCTTCTCCACAATCTGACCAATCTTTGTCGTAGACTGGGCAGTTTGTTGGGGAGACCGATACACTTCCACATATTGAGGGAGGGATGAGCTTGGGCAGGAATGGGTTTGCCAGTGAAGTCAGTTAGGGCTGATAATGCTTCAGCTTGTGATACAGATGTAACCCTGACAAAGTAGGAATGAATGGTGTGGCTGCATAAAGAAACTTTGCCTTTCTTTTTAGAGGCTTTGTTAGAAGAGAAGTGTTGTCAGACTAAGGGGCTTTAGAGAAGATCACACAAAATTGATCCCATTGAGCTGGGCTAAACAGTATTCAAAAGGTTTGTAGAAGTGGTTGGAGTAGAATGAGTGGATGGAGACATGCCCTAGAGGGAGGTAGAAATTAAGGCTGCAGAGTAGTTATAAAGTAGGGTCAAGGGCTGAAGCTCAAGGCAGGGTTAATCCCCAGCATTGGGTCCTAGTCTTCATCTCCTAAGCCAATGAGGATAAAGAGTAATTATAAGGGAGAACTACTTGGTCTGCAGGGTACGGCTATGCACAGCAATGTGCCAGAGTGCATGGAGTGGGAAGTTACGCTTGATGTGGCAGACTCCCTTGCCCAGTGCCTGGCTGTTGTCAGTTTATTATGCCCAGGGATTTCTGTTACCTGGGGGTGATGGGTTAAACAAATGAATGTGATAGACATCAAAGGTCATACAAAACTATGGCAAGGTATTGTGGAAGAAGGGGTTTAAAGAATTTTTTTTTATTAGAACAAGATGTCTTCAATTTCAACTGTCATATGGCATTATAAGATATGGTAGTGAAAGGACTAGAAAGTGGGGGAGTAAATGGGGTAGGAAGGGCAAGGATTAAGGACAAAGGTGATAAGATCAATTGGAGGGTATTTGTGTCTTAGGAAGGAGAACAGCTTGATAATTGAAAAGGTTGGGAGGTTGGGGGAAAGAGGACAAGTAAGGAAAAACAAGGGTATGGACTTCTGTAAAATATGTGTGTGTGTGTGTGGAGGGGGGGCAGGATAATAGGATACATGGGACCGAAAGAGAAATATTGTATGTGGAGTAAAGAGATGGGTTGGAATGACAGTGTGACTGCATGGGTTAGGCGTGACCTATTAGTACAAAGGGAAGTGCAGTTTTCCAGCATCTGTTCTGGTGGTATGGCGCCAACCAAGGGGGTATGGAAGATTTGAAATTTATTGGTGGTTAGACCTGACCTAAAGATTACTAACAGTTAGAGGAATGTTTTGAAGTGGGGGTAGTAGTCCGTGACTACACAATGTGAATATGCTGGATATCCAGTAAAACTTCCAGTTTTGCAAACAGGTAAAAAAAACTGGTCTTGTATTTTTCACACTACAGGGTTGATGTGTAGTTATCTTTTTATGACTGTCAGGCATCCATATTCAACCATGTTCAAATTTCTAAGAGACAAGCTCTTCAATCATATATATATATATAACACACAAAATCAAGCAAAAGCATTGGTTAATATATAAGGTGAATGAAAGAACATGTAATCTATTATTTCTTATTCTAATATTCACAGCCAGACTTGATAGATTTGAAAAATACATGATTTTCTCAATTCATAATATTCTTTAATATAAAAAAAAGAAAACTTTTTGCAAAAATAGCAATTTATACTCGCTTCCTTGAAACAAGATCCTGGAACTTTTGGTAAAATTAATATTTTCCTTTCTATACATAAAAGCACAAAAGCTTGGACCTTATATAGTATATTTACAAATATCAGTATATAAAAAGAGGAAAGATTTGTAGAACTTTGGGTAAAAAAGCTATTTGTATTCTATATAAAAAGCACAGTAGATGCGCAAAACCTCTAGACTTATACATAGTCAAAATATCAAAATGCAAGAATAGTGTAAACCTATACAATATTCTTCAAATGATACACATTAAAAAAAATTAATAAGCAACATTTTTTTTTGCATAATAATTCCTTAAAAAAAAATTCTTGAAGGCCTTGTTTCTGATCACCTAAGATTTGGTGGGACTAGCACTTGGCCAGTAGATGGGAGAGGTTCGAAGAATGGGTGATAGAGGGCCGACTTTGCAGTAATTCGCTGCCGTGGGTCATATTTCAGCATAGCCTGGAAAAGCGAGATTGACTTGCGTACAGTTTACACTCGAACTTGTGGCACTAATAATCTCAATATATAAAGGTGTACTTTCTAATATAATGTGTGGCTGGCTACTATAAGTAATGTTCCAACACTCAACATTCATTCTCAAAAATCCTTTATTTCACACTAACTTTGTAATATCAGTTTCAATATCAGTCACTGTCACCACCCCTAATCACCCAACATGGTACTAGGTTGCACAGTTGCAGTGAGAATGATAGCTTCCATGATGCAGGTTATCTATGGACTTCTATAAGGGCTGTTTGCCTATATATATGGTTATGGAGACATTGTTTTCATAATGTGTGGCTGGCTACTATAAGTAATGTTCCAACACTCAACATTCATTCTCAAAAATCCTTTATTTCACACTAACTTTGTAATATCAGTTTCAATATCAGTCACTGTCACCACCCCTAATCACCCAACATGGTACTAGGTTGCACAGTTGCAGTGAGAATGATAGCTTCCATGATGCAGGTTATCTATGGACTTCTATAAGGGCTGTTTGCCTATATATATGGTTATGGAGACATTGTTTCATATGACAGTTTTAGGGGATGAGGATACATTATGGAACTTTCTCCATCCCTTTAATACTAGTCCTATAACCTCTTTTTTTTTAAAGTTAAATATTTACCTCAGGAATAGTTCAAAATCATCAAAACATACTTGATAAATTGTGACTAAAATATTATCCATTTACTAAACTTTCATCACACTTGTAAACCAATTCACACACACAAACAGGAAAACACACACAAGCACATGCACCGACTCTCACTCACTTTGTGTCTATGTTATGTGACTTGAAAAAGGATCATTATACTAACCAAGAGTAAGCACCGTCCCTCTTCATTCAGCAATGGAACCAGCTGGGCTATGGAACTCTCAGCGTCAACCTCCCACCGTGGGAAGGAACTCTTATAATCGGGGAGCTGGGTCACACCTGGCCAATCTTCCTCTCCAGGAGTTCCCAGAGTACGGAAGATGCGGAACAGCTGGTCTATTTCTGAATCGCCAGGGAAGAGTGCTTTCCTTGTCAACTGTGATGAAAAGTAATAATAGGTTATTAATGACAGACATATTTCATCCCTATGCCGACGGGTATCATATATCTCTGAGCACCACAAACTCTAGTGCAACTTCTCGTTCCACATGCTCTGGCACATCAATGAGTGTACAGATGTAACCCACAGACCAAGCAGTATGTTATGATGCTTGTACATGTTATCCGTCGGGAACAGGTTAAATACCAGTTTCTTTGGAGTCAAATCTGAACACAATTCATTTTTATATTCAAAGTTATAATAAAATCATAATTTCTTTACAAATCAAGAAAATCAATTTGTTGAAAATCTAACCCACTTCATACTCTGATTAAATAAACTTTCATGTGAACAAATATCTTACCATCTCGGCAAAAATGGCACCCAGGCTCCACATATCAACTGCAGTACAATAGTTTTTGGCACCGAGGAGAATCTCCGGGGCACGGTACCACAAGGTTACAACTTCATGTGTGTACACCCTCAAAGGCAGGCAGAATGCTCTTGCTAATCCAAAATCTGCCAGCTTGATTGACCCTAGGAAAAAACAAAAAACAATTCGATGAATTATCAAATGGTTTTCAGTAATACTTGTTTTTAAAAGCTGTAGATGAACTGAAGATTCTGACTTATTATTTGTGAATTTACCAATCTGTAACCTCGGCCTAATTGCACATTAAACCCATTGCCTCTGGCAGAATTAGGGGTGTATTTGGCCTTTGCTCTCAACTGGTGCATCACACTCATCATAACGAAACAAGAAAGTGATGCAATTTTTTCTTTGTTTCAGGTCAAACCTGTAGTAGCCTGGATATGTATGTATATCAAATTATTTCAATAAATTAGGTGTTACTCACTTTCTCATACCTTATTCTTGTGAAATGGAGAGAGAGTATGCAATTATATACAAGGCTGCTACTCCCATGCCTTCAGTACTTCCCTTTTGTGGTCATATTTCAACAAGTCACAGGCAAATGATTTGTGTGCAAAATATGAGGGTGCCTTATGAAGAATAGCATAAAATGCAATGGCTCACGAATATCCTGTCCTACATAGCCACTACTAAGCCAGCCATGATGAGAATACACTTCATCCAGAAGAGGACAGAATTAGTCTCTGTGCAGCTCCATCACTATCATCACTCAACTTCAACACACTTCTCAAACACACACAAATGAAAGCAGCCATTTCTTTTTCAACATGGTTACTTTGTGATTCAAACTAGTGGCACTTACAAATCTAATTTTCACAAACATGTTATTGGTCATCTGCTTTAACATCAGTTATTCTAATACATACATGCAAATGTTCCATATCGAAATAACATTCTTTAGATAAAAACTCAGAAAACCTACGTACCTCTGGCATCTATAAGAAGGTTTTGTGGCTTCAGGTCTCGATGGAGGATACGATTAGCATGACAGAATGCAATGCCTCGTAACAGCTGCTGCATATAACTCCTCACCAGATCCAACGGCAATCCTCCACGGCTTTCATCAAAGAGCTTCTTCAGATCCTTGAAGTATAAAAATAAGGATTTTCTAAGTTTATTTATCATTATCATCACTATTCATTATTATCAATACTTTCAAGTTTCATCTAACAATGTGCCATGAAAACAATCAACTTTATATGCTCAGTAGGTAGACTACACCACACACAGCTGTTCAGAAAGTTCATAAACAGTACTTCTCAATTAAAACACATTTTAAAGTCTTTCAGAGTTGGATCTTAATACATTTACAAGGTATTATTGAAGCATGACTAATTTCTTTTAGACAGATTCAAAGATTTTCTCACAGTTAATAGTTCATACACTCGCAACCCCTTTCTCAAACCTCTAATTCATCTATAACCCCCCTCCCCCAACATGGATAGTTATTAGCCGATAAGACTTTTTTTTTTACTTAGAAGTGTGTAAAATTGCAAAAAAGAAAAAAGGTCATTACTAAAAGCTAATGAAAAGGAAATATTCAAATTTTGCTTTCCACTACCTCTCTTAATGTACATAATTTATATTTCATTCCACTGACTCAAGAAAGTAACCATAAAAAGGACTGATGGACTGAATTCATAATTAACACCAAAGAATAACAGAAAACACTTGTCAAACTTCCATTTTAATTACAACCCACCTATTAATGGATGGGTTATGGCCCTTCCTTAACTTTCACTTTACACCCGAGTCTGTGGAACTGCCTATGTGATCCCAACACACACAATGGAAAAAGCAACTTACCTGATTCAGATACTCAAACACCATGTACAACTTGTGGTCCCCGTACACCACATCCAGCAGTCGTACGATATTATCATGGTCGAGTTCCTTGAGTAAGGCTATCTCTCTCAGAGCTGTGCTGGGAACTCCGTCTGCTTCACTGGAGATGAGAGTAAATTTATTAACTCTCATGCAATTGAATGTTTTTTTTTTTTTTTTTTTTTTTTATACTTAGAAGTGTGTACAAACTTTATACAATAATACTTAATGACATGGCTTTAAAAAATTAAGTCCTTACCATCTACTCTGAATCCTTTGATGTGAGCATTGCAAAAAAGAAAAGAGGTCATTACTATAAGCTAATGAAAAGGAAATATTCAAATTTTGCTTTCCACTACCTCTCTTAATGTACATAATTTATATTTCATTCCACTGATTCAAGAAAGTAACCATAAAAAGGACTGATGGACTGAACTCATAATTAACACCAAAGAATAACAGAAAACACTTGTCAAACTTCCATTTTAATTACAACCCACCTATTAATGGATGGGTTATTGCCCTTCCTTAACTTTCACTTTACACCCGAGTCTGTGGAACTGCCTATGTGATCCCAACACACACAATGGAAAAAGCAACTTACCTGATTCAGATACTCAAACACCATGTACAACTTGTGGTCCCCGTACACCACATCCAGCAGTCGTACGATATTATCATGGTCGAGTTCCTTGAGTAAGGCTATCTCTCTCAGAGCTGTGCTGGGAACTCCGTCTGCTTCACTGGAGATGAGAGTAAATTTATTAACTCTCATGCAATTGAACATTTTGAAATTACATCATGAGATACAGATGGCATTAACAAAAATCAAGGAACATATAACCAGGTAGCTCCACTTCCAGAAGCCTATTATGGAAGTAATAAATTGAGTGGAACTACTTATCTAATAATGCCTTGAACAAAAACTATGATCAATCCATAAACAGCCAAAGGGGTACTGAGAGGAAATGGACAGACACAGGAGGGAGAAAGAAAGAGCATGACTTCTAAATGGTATGTATACATTTGTATCTAGGTTTCTTTGTGAAGTTTAACCAATTTACCGAAACAAACAAGTACACTAATAAATGGACAAAGGAACTTGCAACTAAAATAGTAAACTAATACTACTACAAAATAATAATTAAGAAATTGAATATTTTCAGATCACCATTACCCCCCCCCCCCAAAAAAAGGCCATAATCATAAAAAGCTTAACAAAAACTGATTGGATTCTTCTCATGAAAATTGTTGCATCCACTAATATATTTGTAATATATATCCGGTACTACTCGGTAAGCCACAGTAATGATATCACCCGCCCCCCATAACATCACTTCCCTTGCAGGTTCTTGACTGGAGTTGATCACCGTACTGTTTTTTCTTCCAGCAACTATATTCTTGCAATTTAAAATAAAGTGAGTTTGAAGGACATAATTCTGGTGCTGTGCGGTGTGTTTAATCCAACCAACACTTTACCTCCCACAGTCCCCCATTCATATATCATACAATTATTGTTACCTCTTGATATACCACTGTCTGTTCACCCTATACCCAAAATGCTTATAAATGCACACACAAAAAATTATATGATAAAAAAATATATATTTATTTGTATACTCTTTAGCAACCTACCTCCCTCATCACTTATATACAAAGGGATAACCAAGGTTTTTAATTTTGCACTATAATTATACTACTATTAGAGATAATGACAATGAAATATATACATTCTGGTACATAAAACCAAACTTAAAAAAATTGACAACCAAAATCGGCCTTGTCCCAACATGAAAAAATAGGTTGGAGAGATTACAATATTTTTGTTTCAAAAATAATACTGATTTCATTATTGATACAGTACACCATGAAATACAAAAACAGAAGGGAACTCTTGACAAAAATGCAGACAATAATAAAAGCTGCCAAGGCTACTTTTGCTTCTCTCTACAAACATATAACAGGATCAATATTTTTGCTTAACCCTTTTTCCCCCCTATACATAATGTTGCTCAGCTATAAATAATGGCAAAGAGGAATACAAGAGTAAAGATATATTGAGAGATGTAGACCTATCTATTGGTACGATATTTCAATACATTAAGTAGATTTCTCACTATAACATGTACATGAAAATCCCATATTCTCATTTCAATTTAATGACAATCTTTGTTTCTGTTTGCTTTCTTTTCTTTATAGATGTCACCAGAACATTTTTTACCCTTTCTACAACAGCTAACTAAATTTATCAGACTAGGTATCCCTTTGAAGAACTAAAGAAATAAGAAGCAGAGAGAGAGAGAAAGAGAGAGAGAGAGAGAGAGAGAGAGAGAGAGAGAGAGAGAGAGAGAGAGAGGAAGGATACTGTCACATGAGCAGGTTTTCCATCATCGTGTGTGTGTATTTTGAGTCGAATGTGGTCCATATTGTAAGGGAATCATTATCCATTATCCATTCATTTTAACCCCTTGCCTGGGCATGTATGCACATGCCATGCCAATTGTGAGTTTACTTGCTTAATTGTTTTTACACATTGATGGCTACACTTGTATTAAATCACCAATTAGCCAGTTACAAGTACCGCCTGTCTTGCCCATTTACCCTTTTCATTGATTTACAAAAAAAAAATTTAGTGTTATCTTACTTTGTTGTTACAAATGTTTATAACAGTTATAGTAATTATAATATTTATAATAAAAAGAACACCAACAATATCCATAGCACTAGTGAAAAATATGTTTTTCCACCATTTCAAATCAGGCACTAGCAGAGCCATCTATGGGCAGACATTTCACAAAAATAGAGAAAATAGGCACAGCATTTTCCCCGGCAGCAATGGGTTAAAAACAAAAATAAGTAATATCTTGAATGCAAAACTTCAAATGCCTATATCATTTTCCAAGGATAGTTTCCCATACAAAAATCTTACAACACTATTGCTTTCTGCAGAGGTACCATTTGTTCCTTTTTGAAATTTTGTTAGTATAGAAAATGTAGGATAGGAATAATAATTTTTTAAAATGTAATTCAGAAAAATTACCTTCACCAATTCCAAAAGCATTCATATATAAACATTAAAAGTTGACAATATCAAGCAATTCAACAATTCAATTTTTCTTCCTCAACAATTCCATTATAAAAATTGCCTCCAGAATACTACCATCATGAAAATGAATACATATATGTATTATATAAATATATGTAAAAGAAGGAGGAGGAGGAGGAGGAGGATGATAAAGAAAAAAGAAAGAAAGAAAAGGAACAGTTTGTTTTCTTAACCCATTGCCGCCAGGGAAAATTAATAAAAAATGGGGAAAATGCTGTGCTCATTTTTTATATCTTTTGTTTCTACGTATAGATGGCTCTGCCTAACTTGATTTCACCTTTCCTTGAATTGGCAGGGAAAATGTATTTTTTACTAGTGCTATGAATATCGATGGTGTTATTTCTATTACAAACATTACAATTACTATAATGTTATAAACATTGGTAATAGCAAAATAAGATAACAAAATATCTTCATAAATTAAAGAAAAGGTTAAAACGGCCGAGACGGGCAGTGCTCTTTATCGGGTCACTGGCGATTTAGTACAAGTGTAGCCATCCATGCGTAAAAGCAATTAAACAAGTAAACTCACAGTGGGCATGGCATGTATGTACATGCCATGCCCGTTGAGAATGGGTTAATAAAATATCTGTCCCAATATTTGAATTTAAGCAATAAAACCTAAAATACCTGCTAACACACAACTAGCAAGTAGATACATCTAGCAGAGAGAAACCACATCCAAAGTGGCATAAGCATACAGATTTCAAAGGTTTTATTTTTGTTTTCTTGTAATATCAACCTTTTATCAAACAAAATTCTATAGCAAACCAATCCTATTATAAACCTAAAGCACTTAAACCTATTCAAGACAGAACATTTTATATTACCAGTCGGAGATTTGTTACAAAAGGTTTGAAAAAAGTTTGAAACCTTTGAAGGAGAAGAGGGCTGGTGTTTTCTTGTCACCTGAGTCAATCCTGAACCTATCATGGAAAGAGTGAATTGTTAATCATCTTGAGTCAATGAACTTTGCAACCGTGACCAGGACATCACACCAAAGTCAACGACCTGATAATAACACCCATGAAATATTGTAACACGAGGAACTTGAATAAAAAAAAAACCCAGTGTACACATTACTTTATGACACTATCAGCCTTCTTCCTTTTTTACCTCAATGAGAGATTTCCTAGCCAAAAAATCAAACCCTTTCAACAAACCTTTTGTAAAAAAATCAAAATACAGAGAACATCACACACTAACAACAATACTAAATGTTTAAGTAGGCTATATTGTTGGCTCAGCTGCTAACTATTGAATATTATGCTGAATCCTGTGGTGCTATGACCAAGAACACATATCCACCACAGTAGCCAGCATGCTACCCAACTATACATGTCAATGCATCCCTGCCAGTAACTCCCTTTATATGCATATTTGTTTTGTTCAATTATTCTTTATTTATTTATCTATTTTTTTAATTAGCATCTTTGCCAAGTTGCCAATATTCTTTTTCAGAATTAGTGTGTGTGTGTATACATACATACATACATACATATATAAATACACACACACAAAAACAAAAATGTGCTTTTGAGTTTAATGCATTAAAAATGTAACTTAAAATTTGATATGCATATGATCAGGGCCATACTGTAGCAGAGGGCATTTTCCCCCTCAAATAATCATAATTTTTATTCTGTACAATTTTCATTTATTCATATAAAATAATCTATTTCATTCAACCATCAATAACATGATCATGGAGACGATTTCCATATTGCTTCCTCTCTCAGTCAAGTCTGGCAGCTTTCTGTTTGCTCCACTAGGTAACTAGGACTGTGATAGCCATTATATATTGCTAGGCACAGCTCTAGGTACCTAGTTAGCCAAACACTGTGTCACTTGAAAATGGTCATGAAGAGAACCTGCTTACATCCCTTGAAAAATACCTGAAAAACCTGCATGCATATACAACTGAAAAGATTAAATATAGTATACTGTAAGAATACAGAAGAAAATGTGATACTAAATTGCAATAGATGAAATAAAAACTTTACAATGGAAAATGACTTTACACAAACAGAATTCAATTTCCAGAAAGACTTACTTATAAATATTTTTTAGTGTCTGATCTAAATTCGAAGGACCACATTTCCCTTTTCTTTATTTTTGCTCAATGATACTTTGAAATGCACTCTCAACAAAACCATGACCTTCACAAGCCTAAAACAGCTGTCAGTATGCATACTTCCTTAATTCTACCTTGCATTTTTGTTGTTCCCTTGCTACTTTGATCTGCAAAGTTGCTCTGTTTCCATCAAAACAATACAGCCCAAACGCAGTTATCAAATGACAAGGATTGCAGAAACAGATAGCTCTTCCAACTAGCAACTATAATTTGCATTGCAGATACAAGCTTAGCCACATCCAATTACATACAATTTTGATATAGATGGTTTTACTTTCCAATTTCTAAGGCTACACATTGTCAAAGGTTAATAAATTATAGGCAAGCAAAAGGTTTTATCATTCTTAAATAGCTGTCAGAACAATGACAATGGTGAAGTGAAAAAAACTTACACCCGTTAAAACCGAGTTGCTTGCTACATAAGCATATGTGATGTCAGCCATAAGTCACATTTTCCAATAAAAGCAAATGATGGTTGATTCTATTCCATACACACACTAAGATCACTCAAGTACATGTCATATTCAATTCATCCTCAAATCACATGGTCTCCAGTTTAGTCTTCACCCTTGTCAACACCACATTTCTAAACAGACCTTCACAACCAAAGAAGGTATTTGATGCATAACAATTATAATTCAATCTTGAATGGAACCAAATACACTCTAGTCCTTTCCTCACTTCAATAAACAAGTTGAGTAAGACACTCAAGCAACAGCTGCCTTACAAAATTAACAAGTCACAGGGGTCAATGACCTGTGCACCTTATTACAGTCATTTTAACATTATATATAGTGTAAATTTCTTGTATGTCTTGTTTACTCTGGTCTTTACTACACAGTGAGAGAAACTGAGGGGAGAGGAGATAAAATGTTCACTAAAAAGATAGAAAGTGTAAAAAAAATATATATGTATCAACAAATTAATAAAAAATACTAATAAAAGGAGACTAAATATAACCCTCAAAATTGTTGGCTATAATAATGAATTTTAAATAGACTAGATAATTAAAACTAGGAAAAGAATCCCCACACATGAATAAAGATAGATGTTCATGTTAGTTCTTAAAAACTTCCAAGGGGAAGTTGACTGTTCCAGTCAACTTCATTTCTATAATGTTACCAAACAAGATAATTAAAACCTAGCACATTTACAATAATAAAATTTTATTTCTGTTAAGAAGGGAGGGAGGGACGGAGAGAGAGAGAATCAAACTAAAGAAAGTACTGAAAGTGAATAAAAAGTAAAATTATAAATCAGCCCTAATTTCTCCAAAACACTATGGATTAGTGCTAAACTCACAGAAAGCATTCATCATGTATTTAATTAAACCATCACTAAACATCAACACCTTTACAATCTGTTACAATTCATTCCTATAAAGAGACCAAAAGCTAACAGCATGACTACTGGTGAACATTGAATTGTTGAATTGAGAAGATGAAACAGAATTTGAAAAAAAGAAAGTAAGATCTCCTGCATTACAAGTTCCACCCCCCTCAAAATTTGTTTATCTGAAGGGCTTGCAAACCTTTGAAGAGAATAAGACAAGTTTAGAAACTACATTTTTATATATTTCAGTAATTACCTATGGCATCAATCAATACCATCACCTTTCGACTTGTCACTCTCAGACACAATCTTCCATATTTTCAGACCAAATATTTTTTTTCACTTTATCAACAAATCCTCTAGGAGACAAATCTGATTTTTTTTTTTTTCTTAATAAATCCTTGAAGAGACTCAATTCTATCTAATCAAAATATGCACTAAATTGTTTGAGTCCCATGTTTAGGAACCACAGTATTGCTAGATGCTTAGATCTTCAGCTTACAAGAAACTAATTTTAACAAAAAAGTATGTTTTCAATGGTCAACCTATTACATTGACAAACTCTACATTTACTTGTACTAAATAATTACCTATATCTTTAAAATCTACACAAACAGGACCACTGAAAATTTAATTTGTACATACACCTAAACCAAAACCATGGATCCAAGCTTAATTTCTCGGTAAGCATCATCAACTTCCCCATTTGCACTTTCGCCACCCAAAAATTCAAAACTAGGGTTTATATTCAAACATAAAAGGCTTTACTCCATGTTAGGTGCCAGTATAAAATAAAGATAACCAAGAGATGCCACTACTGGTTTAAAAAAGAAGCTCTCTGACCTACTGCTGGTTGGGGGATGATATCACAATGAGCAAAACATAACTGCTGATGGTTGAAATAGCTCTTCCACATAATATTTTCTATGTTATTGCTGTAGTCCTTAGATATGAATAACATTCCTCTGATCAATTACTTGTTAATTAAGCCAACAAGCAAGGGCCTAACTTAACCTGAACTGAACTCTAGCTTACAAATCATTCGTCAGTCAAGAGAGGCTTTCTCTCTAAACCTTAACCTCATCAATGGAAAAAGCCACAGAATGTCGATATCATGACAGATATTGGTGAACAATACCTAGAGGAAGAGTGTTCATAAGGTACTATTGTTTACACTGTACAGTTAGATATGGTCATCTTAAAATTCAATAAATGTTTAGAAGAATGATAGGTTTATGGTATCTGCAGTGACCTCATATTCAACGGGAAATTACAAAAAAAACCCTCTGCAGGTCACCGTTCAAAACCACGGTTCCTAATGTTGCATTTTCTGTAAGTTTGTACGAAATTTTAATAAAGTGGGGTACTTGCCCCCTGAAGTAAAAAGAAGGCAGGTAAGGTTAGGTTTGGATTTTGGGTTTACATGTTATCAGGGATTTGGGACTTCACCTCTGGAGGGTGCGTTGCTCTCGGTAACAATTACCGAATGATTATTGTACATAGAAAATATCCAAAAATCCTGCTGGGCACTTTGCCGTCCACTACAAGAAAAGGTTTAGCCTTTATGATGTCTGAATATACGAGATAAAGGTTTACTAGCCTTTGCCTCAGTACCGTGGATTGTACGACACGGATACTATCAGGATGGGTGTGCAAATGTACTCAAGTTTCCAGTCTAATCTGGAAGAAATACATTCCTCAGAACTCTAAAAAAGCACTTGTATAGTGTGAATGACCTTCCAATGTACCTTCACTACATTTTCTTTATACGGAACTATTATGCTTTCCAGAAATTACTACACTCTTCTTGGATTAGTGAATGCATCCTTACAAGCGAGCTTTAACTAGACAAATAACAAGTTACACCCTTGTTCACAGTCTACACAACAAAGCGAGCTTTAACTAGACAAATAACAAGTTACACCCTTGTTCACAGTCTACACAACAAAGAAGCAATTACATGGAGCTTCCTTTGTTTATCAAAACATCAATACAAAGAAAAGAAGCCTGTAAACAAAGACCTGGATAAAAAGAACAACTACAAACCTACCATACAGTTTACGGAATCTATCCCAAAGAAAAAGGAAAACCAATTTACTATAACGGATGAAAATAAAAATATGCCGTGCTGTAACAAAGGAATCTTAGAAGAAATGGAACAAAGGAATCTTTTGGGAGATGCAAGCAGCAGTATGGTTAATAAAATAATTTCCAGATAATATACAGCAATCTGCAATGAAAACCTGAATAAGAACTTTAGTTAACATATTACAAAGTGGTGAATTGTATAGAAAAACATTATTCCTGCACTAAAGTCGGCGATAAACCGTAGTCTAAATTGAATTAGTTAAAAATACACAATTCCTTTATTCAAGCTTCCCTATAATATTAACTAAATACAGGAAAACAAGTAAAACCAAGCACTGACCCATGGAACTTAGCCTTAAACTGCACAAAACCCACAAAGACTCATGATCTGCCATGCATCTAATTCCAATTTGAAACTGATGCTTGGGTCTCTCTCTCCCCCTCTCTCTATATTTATACACACAATCATCTTTCACTCTCAAACACATTAAAAGACACAAAAAAAAGCTACGAATTCCCCACCAAAAGAAACACATGATCAAAAACAACCAACCTACAAAGCAAAAAGCTCAAAAATGCCAAGCCAAGCTCCCGAAAATCTCCACCTCTCCCCGAGTCCCTAAAACCACACGAGGACCAACGAAAATACAACAACGGGGATGAAATACACTCAAAAGAGAATATAGACTGTTCAAAAGGGAAAATAGGGGGATTTAGAGAGCCCGAGAGCCAAGAAATACCGTGATTGTCCCCCTCGGCTTGGTGAACGAAGCTTCCCACGCGATGTAGGCCTATGCACAGCCACCACGAGGCCTGAGCATAACTACGGCTTTTCTCGTTCTTCCCTTCGTCTTTTTCTGGTCTTATGGGTGAAATTCACAGGAAGAACGTTTTTCCGTGCATAAACCGGGTAAGGAAATGGAAAGAAAGAAAAAGAAGAGAAGCGAAACACGAACTTATAACCGCATAACATTTCCCGAACACTCCATTCCCGACCCTCAGAAATAAAACGCGGAAAAACGCTAAATAAACAGCCAAACCATTAAAAAAAACCCTTCCCTAAATAAATCAACTAAAGCATCCAGACTCCCTCCCCATTTAAAAAAAAAACAAACCTCTAAACAACCCACCCATCCCTATACAAATTAAACCCCGAAAAGAAAAAATAACAGAACCTACCTCCTAAAAAATACTTCACCCGTGAACGACCCCTAAGAATTTAAAGAAAAAAGCCTAATAATAAAACCAAAAATAACCCAGGGACTTACTTCTCGAGGCGGATTTTCTTGAGCGCCACGATCCTCTTGCTCGCCCGGTCCTGAGCCTTGTACACGACGCCATAGGTTCCTTCGCCGATTTTCTCGATTTTCTCGTAATTCTGCACCGACATCTTCCTCTCACACGCACACGCACACACACTCACGCACACGTCACACCCAACGCATAATCCGAAGACAGGAAGGGGCCCCGGAGAAACAAAACGCAAAGAGAGAATGAGGGAGAGAGAATAAGAGAGAGAGAGAGAGAAAAGAGGAGAGAGAGAGAGAGAGAGAGAGAGAAAAGAGGAGAGTGAGAGAGAGAGAGAGAAGGCAGCGAGTCTTCTTCTCGTGCGCCTCCAATAGAGAATGAAACGAGAGAGAAAAAGAATAAAAAAAAGAGACCGAGAGAGAGAGAGAGAGAGAGAGAGATAAAAACGAATCGAAAACGAAAAACGAAAAAGGAAGAGAGAGGGAGAGAGAGCGAGAGGGTGTGTATGAGAGAGAAACAAACCCACAAGAAAAACGAAAAAAGAGAGAGATAACGAGAGAAAAAGAAGAGAAAGAGAGAGAGAAAGAAAGAGAAAGAGACACAGAAACACACACACGAGGAAGAAAAAAAAAAAGGAAACGCAGAAGCACACACACGGGCGGGCGAGGGAGAGAGAGGCGGGCGGGCGGGCGTGCGGGCGGAGAGACGCGGGTTCGGCGATGGCGTCGGCAGGTTTCCCGCGCTCGACTTCGCACGCTCTCCCTCTCTCCCCGACTGATGCTACGCTCGAAAAAAGGATGGGGTGGGATGGGTGGGTAAGGTAAGGGGGGGTGGGGTGGGCTGGGTAGGGATATGGGTAGGGGTGGGATGTGGGTAGGGTGGGGTGAGGGGGTGGGTATTCGGGGAGGATGGGAGGGGGGAGGGTAGGGAATAATGGGTGGGTATTAGGGACCGGGGCATTGGGAAGGGAGGGATTATAGGGGGGTAGGGGGTCTAGGGGGAGGGTAGGGGTGGTAGGAGAGGGGGGAGAAACGCACGAGAAATGGTCTCCTTCCCCCTCCCCCCCGGCCTCCTCCTCCTCCCTGCTCCCTCCCCTCCCCCCCTTCGTGTGTTTCTGATAAATATTTGAAATAAAAAAAAAATCGAAGTGGGTTTT